TTTGGAGAAAACTGAGGAACTCTTGATTCTCCTGATTCTGCAAAAATAACCAACATACATGAAGTCAGATATATCTGTGTGTGTGTGTGTGCACGTGTGTGTGTGCACGTGTGTGTGTGCACGTGTGTGTGTGTCTGAGGTTCTCCTTGTCCCGACCCATCCTGAAAAACCCGATCTGTACTGCTCGTGTGTGAAACGTTCGTCACGTTCGTTTTGCGTCAGTGAGTCGCTCCCTCCCGATCCGTACTGCGCTAGCGCAAATTAACTTCACCTTAAAAACTTTATTTAAACTACCGATCGATTCAGAAACAAACTGCCGATGTGACAGGCTAGCTAGCAGGAGGCTCCAGAGCTAATACAGAGACATTCGCCAGAGCTCCTGTCCAGAACGAGAGCGCCACCACCTGGTCAAACTGATGGTTCTCTGACTTTTTAAAGTATGAAGGCGGATTTATTTCATTTATCTTATAAATTAGATTTATGAACAAGAAGCCGACACATTATGGACGATGAATCTCAGCGTTTTAATTTCCACACTGAAATATTCAGATTCATTCAGACCTGTTAGAACTACGTCACAGTTTAACTGGAGGAGGAGGAGCCTTTAATCGGGAAACTGGGCGCCATTCTCTCGACTTTCCGACGCTCCGTTCAGGAGAAAAGTGTGTGGCTGTTATAAACTGAAGCGAGCTCGCTGACGCTGACGCTGCCGAACAAAAGAGTCGAAACCGTCGCAGAGATGGCGAGTAGAGGGAGTGACGTACATTTCGCACATGTGCAGTACAGATCTTGTTTCTGGGACGGATCGGGCTGCGATAATCCCTGACCTGATGTAAACCTGTAAACGTGTTTATCTCTGCTGGGCCTCTATGGGGACAGACTCACTGTAGGACACAGCCTCTAGTGGACGCTGGAGGAACTGCAGTTTTAAGTCTCTCAGCTCCTCAGGTGATGGTCCAAAGACCTTCTGAACGGCTGGTTCTGATGTTCTGACTCTTGAACAAAGTTCTGATGATCTCTGCAGTGAAGGTTCTGATGGAGTTTGTAATCAGTGACTTCAGAACCTCCTCTGGACCTCCTCTGGACCCTCTGCTCTCTCTCATGTCCTCCTGGTTGTAGGTTCTGAAAACCCAGATTCTGCTCCGTTGACTCTGCTCTGTGTGACTGTCCTGACTGCAGGTTTCCAGACTGGTCCGCTGGGGGGCGCTGTTCCTGCGCTCTGACGGCTCCTCTGCACTGAGAGAGAGGAGCAGCGCTGCAGTGAGAGGGGCGGAGGAGGAAGGTAGGGCCCAAAGGCACTGCTGCCAGGAAGCGGCTCGAATTACATTGGGGGTGCTTGGGGGGGGAATGACACCCACTGGAGTGAAGGAGGAGGAGGAGGAGGAGGGCAGAGGAGTGTGGAGACGTAAGGAGGAGAAAAAACCGAGTAAACCTGACAAAGCGTCTGAGGAGCGGAGCGAGGACTGAGGGCAGCAGCAGCAGGAGCAGCAGCAGGAGGAGCGCGGACAGACACGGAGGAGGAGAAAGACGGAGCCACTGATGGATTTTACGACTCCTGGCACCGGACAAGTTTCCTCTCGGACCTTTTAACCCTCTTTCAGGGTCTTTGGGAGTCTTTGCGAGTCTTTCAGGGTCTCCAGAAGCTGCAAACTTCCTCCGGGGCTGTCAGCTATGATCTGCGCCCTGGAACAAACTTGGTGACGGGGAGGAAAGTTTCGGGGGGACAGCTCTGCGCTTTTCCGAGCTCTCTTTGGAGGATAACGCGGATTTCTGTGCATGGCACTGGAGCACGCTGCCTTTCGGGGCTGGATTATAATCTCGAATCCGAGTTTTGGCCGCTGGTTGTGGAATAAGTGAGAGGAGAGACGGCAGGCAGCGCCTCGCAGATTTTTTTGCTGCATTGTGGAGTTGGAGACATTCCTCCCTGTGGATTCAGCTCATGCTCTCTCCTCCCTTCTCCGTGCATGCCAAAACAGAGATCTGCACGGTTCCAGTCCTCCCTGGTAAGTTTTTTCTTTTTTTTCTGTTTACGCCTAAAAATCCTCAAAACCTCAAAACCTCATCAGGCAGAGACTCTGCTGTCACGACCAACAGGCGAGGAGGAGGAGGAGGAGGAGGAGGAGGACGAGGAAAAGCTCTGCGCTTTTCGGGGAAAGGAGAACCAGAGTCCGACCGAGCAGGGCTGCACGATCAGAATAAAGAACCGCGATTATTTTAATCATGATCGGGATCGCGATTATTTTGATAATGATCGGAGTCGCGATTATTTATCAGTTATCGATCTGAAAGGCGTTTTAAAGGATTTCTTTATTGAAACATCATTGATGTTTTTCTTACTGACAGGGCCGGACTGAGGCTTCGGAAACTCTGCTTTGGTTTTCAGTCCCCATGCTCACTCCATCCCTCTGTTTTACTAACACACACCTCTTCATCCTCTGCTGCAGAGGGTTTTTTTCTGCATTATCAATCTTTAATTGTTCAGATGTGTCAATCATAAATC